GTCTTATAGATATTTAAAAGCAAGGAATTCAGATATCGCTTATTAAAGATCGCTTACTAAAATTTACTCGACAGTCCTAATTAAAAGAAAAATTATGAATTTGATTTATAGATCTTTAGTCGTACTATATTAATATTATAATATTAAGAATTATTAGAATATATAATAGAATAAGATAGAGCTAAGTTAGAAAATCTTAAATTTATATATATAGCTAATTATAAATTTAAATCCGCTATACTTTTTAGCTAGATCGATTAAGTTATCGCGAATAAATAAATTAGCGTTCGCAACTATTAAAATCTCTTATTCTACTTTTAATCCTCTAATAACTTTACTATTTTCTATTAAAATTTTAAAAGTATTTTTTTAAATTATAGAGCGAAGATTACGCTTTTTAATAACGTAAATATTTTATAATTTAATCTTATAGTTATTAAAGGGTAAGAATCTCAAATATCGTTTATTAAAGTTCGCTTATTAAAGTTCGCTCGACAGCCGGATAGCCCTAATCAGATATATATTATTTAATTTTAGAATAACTTTTTTATTTTCTATTAAATTTTTGAGATTTTTATTTTAAATTATAGAACGTAATATAGGCTTTTAAATAGAAAAGAATTTCTAAATTTAGTCTTATAAATATTTAAAGATAGAGGATTTAAATATCGCTTATTAAAAACTTATTTACTTTATTAAGAATACTCTTTTATATAAGCTTAAATAGTCGAGTAGTAATAATTTTAATAAATTTCGAAACTATTTATCTTTATTCTCGATTCGAATTCATTAATCTCCTTCGCTAAAAAATCGTAAAATCGTAAAAATCGTAAAATTGTAAAATCGTAGAATTCGTAAAAATCGTAAAACTAATAAAACTTTTATAAATTATAAAAATAATAATAATAGTAATTAAAATGAAAAGACTATAATAGATATTAAAATTAACTTCTTATTAATTAAATTTAAATTATTTTAAAGTTAATTAACTTTCTAGAAATCTATTATTAATATAACTTCTCTTTTTTCTATTAAAATTTTACTATTATTTTTTTAAATTATAGAACGTAATCTACGCTTTCTAATAATTTAAAATTTTTAAAATTCGATCTTATAATTCTAAGTAAATCTTAAATTAAAATAATTTTACTTTTCTATTATACGAGAATCGAATTTAATATCGAAATTAAATTTAAAAATAAATTACTTTCTATAAATTTAATTTATAGATTTAAACTTATTTCTTAATACTATTACTAATAATATAAGATATAGATAAATTTATACGAGATAAATTATAAATTCGTATCTTAAAATCTTAAATTCTTATAAATTCATATCTTTAATTATACTTCTATATTTCTTTATTAAATCTTAAGATATAAAAATATAATTAATTATTCTTTAAAGTATGAATTTGTAATTTATTAAACTACGTCTTTAAGTATCCGACGTTTAACGCTCTTAAAGAAGCCTCGAAAGTCTTAAAAAGCCTCTAGAAAATTGAACCCTAAATTTATCGCGGATTGGGGTGAGTTGGGGATTTAAGTCGACGAGTGTACTTCAGTTCGGGGCTTCCGAGGCCGGTCCGGGCTACTTTCGCAACCCCCGAAGACCTAACCTCAACGCACTATGGTAAATTACATTTTCATACCCCAAGGAATGGCAAATTACCGATTCATACCCCATTGGGGTATGAAAATGTAATTAGGGGTATGAATTCGTAAGGATCCAAGGTTTTGAGGTATGAATTTGTAATTTACCCAATTTATACGTGGACTCGATCTCACATACTCTTCGCAACAGTGGGACTGTGGGTTAGTGGGTCCATTATGAGGCCATAGCGTTGGTGGCTGTTTGATCAGCCGTTCCATCATTATGCGATATGCGATAGTAGGGAGATAGGTAGATATGGCGAGTACTATTTGTATGGCCACTGCATTAATAGTGGGCTCTTTATTCAAATTATTCTCTTTCAGAGCCATATTATTGTTCTCCCTCCCACCCACACCTATATATAGCTTCATTTTCACTCCAGGGCATGTCGCTCAGACATGGGAGTTTTTCTAGCGCTGGGGGGCCTTTCTGGGCTATTTGCATGTCCAGAAAGGTCTTAGCTACCCCAGTGTTGGATATGCCCAATCATATATCTACATATCTACTTGTGCATGCGTTATTTCTGTATGGCCTCACTGTTTGCGAGCACTAAGCACATGATGCGCGATGCACAGTGCACGATATCCTTTGCAAACTTCACGCATACTATCCTCAGCAACTTCCGCCTGCAGAGAAGTACCCAGGACTTAGTTTGACGTTACGTGGTGTACCCACCTTACAGCCTCTCTACCGCAAACAACAATGTTCGATTATCTGGTCCTCGCGGCTGTCCCGGGACTTGCACTGGCTCCCAATGCGGTTTGATCTTCCACATCCGGCTCTCCACTCGCCACCGACTTCCCGTCTTCTTCCCCACTTCTTCCCACATTCTCGCAAAGCTCTCATCATTATGAAGGAACATATTCGCCAAACCTGCGTCTTTGAAAGCTGTGGGGTAAACGCCAGCGCTTACGTGTCCAACATGCTGACCTACGGCCCGGGAGCCTGGCCGCGGTTTCAGAAGCGCAACGAAGCGCATCGCGAGCTCGATCTGGGTCGCGTAGTCGAAGCAATGAAAAACATCTTTGGTCGAGATAACGTCCAGGTCGCCATCAAAACGGCATAACGGGCTGGCTTGGTCCATGATATCTGCTGCGATGAAGTGGTCCTGGGGGATGATGGTCTCGTCTTTAAAGAGCGCATAACCCAGCGGGAAATAATCGCCCCGCAAATCGGTCCCGTAGACGCTTGACACAGGCGCCCCTTCGTAGACCATTTTACGCAAGTCCTGCCCAAACATGCATCCGACATCAAGAAGCTTCCCGCCTTGCATCAGAGTGTGTAGGATGGAGGTGTGAAGCTGAGCGCGTGGTTCAGGCAGGTCTGTGCATTTGATGCCGAAGTCGAGGAAGAGGAGCAAGCCAACGGTAGGATACGGGCAGATATCCCACGCAGCATCGCGCTATTATTGTGAACATTAGCAAAATAGAGGTCACCATGACCCATGATGTTTTGGGTTTACATACCACCTTGGTTATATGGCCGACTAAATCTTCTGCAGGGATTTTACTATAATTCAATAGCAGGTCTCGCATCTCAGGCCTGATGTTACTCTCGACATCGGGGTTGTACCAAGCGACATCTTTGCTCGGTCGCTCCTTGTCAGGTTGTGGAACTTGTAATGCCGTCATTCTCAAAGCGTGAGATTGTTGTTGGGTAAGGGAATGCAGTTCTCGATCTTCTTGTACGGCCAACTACATTAGCTTTACTACTCACTCCAGGGAATAGACTGGTCATTTGGAAGCTCTTAAATGCCGCACCAACGAAGAATTTGCACTTCTCGGGGTTACGCGAGGCTATAGCAAGGAGATAGTAGCCGAGTTACCGGTCATCTGGACTGTCGACGAAAAGCTCCACAGAGTCAGACAAGATGTCATCGTGCGTCATTGACGAAAAAAACGAGAGGACTCATTGGTCGAAAGGAGTTTTCACCTCCTGCAAGCAAGCGATGGAAATCCCCCGCACTTGATCCGTTTTCTGCAGAACCGCTTTGAAACACAGTAACTTTGATATGCATTATGCATCCCGAAAAGGCTCCCCGTCTCTGCATGAAACCAATAATCCTGATCGTTAAGCAAGCGAATGAGCGGTATCGTATAGGCATCATGTCTATTCCGGCTGGATCCTAGGTCCGTAGGCTAGGCTTGCCTTGCCTGGGTTAGAATCGACCTTCAATCTGGGCTTACATTATTGGTCTGCATCATTCCCTATCGCTCCGTCTCCCCGATCATGCGTCGTCCCCACCCAAGTACCTTGACTTCGCAACAAATTAACTATATTTTCTAAACCAGAATGGTGCGATGCGACGCGGCAAAGTGCGGGGGACTTTCTGAGAGACCTGATGTGCAAGCCGACGCCGAAAGCCCACCTTCTTCAATTGGGTGTATTGACACCCACCCTGCCTCATGTAACCCCAAAATTCTTGTGTTTCGCCCCCGCTCTATCATAATGCTACGTGATAATGCTACATAATGACGCCACTATACATCAATAATCTTACATAAGGTGTGCTGATTAGCCGAGCAAGTCTGCCCTCAAACGACTTCTGCAGGTACTCTCTCTTTCTCTGCCCTCCAAGTCTCACGATCTGACCCATTGATGTCGTTTCAGTGAGCTTGCCATCTCAATTGAGTCACTCTCCAAAAATTCTGCTCTGAAGACGATGGAGGCGACCGATAATGACCCAGAGGTATCTTCCTCCTGCATTCAATAGCTTTAGCTGCATTTGGGGGAACTGATGTGAAGTTTCTCCGATCCAGGTGCTACGCGATATAGAGGAGGACCAAAACATACAAATCATTCCTGGTACCGAGATTATGATCGACGCTGGGAATCATCACTTTATCAGGTCTGCAGCCGATCGCGTACTGGTGCCGCAACCTTCGAGCGACCCTCACGACCCGTTGGTCAGAGCCCCGAATCTGCAATTGCACCTACACTCCTCAAGGTACAATCCGCTGACGTGATAATGCTTGAAGAATTGGGACCCGTTTTGGAAAGCTTCAACCACAGCCTCTGCGACCTTTGTCTCCTTTGCTCAGGGTTTCGGTCCCCTGGCGATCGCGCCCATGTTTCCCATGCTGGCACAGGAGTTCAAATCGGATTTATCGAGTGTGGTGCAGTTTACAGGCGTTACGATTCTCGTCTTGGGTTTCAGTAACTTTATCTGGTATCACTTCCTCATCCTATGGACGAGTAACCACTTTTCTAGGTACTGATCAATTTGCTACACAAGGATCCCATTGAGTTCTACTTTTGGTCGTCGTCCAGTGCTCCTGGCATCAACCCTTGTTTCTCTAGGCAGCTCGATCTGGAAAGCAAAAGCAACAACATACGGAAGTTTCATGGGTGCTTGCGTGCTCAATGGTCTAGGAGCTGGCCCAGGTGAGGTCTGATGATGCTTGACACGGTCTACCGCATTTAGACCGCTGAACATCACACTAGACATTACAACCTCAGATTATAACGGATTACGTCTTTTTACATGATAGGGGAAAATACAACACCTTGTATTTTGCCTTATATTTTGGATCGTTGGCCGTACGTAGCAGCTACCTCGTTCCGATTGAGGAAACTAATAGATATCTAGCTGTCTCCCGTCGTCGCTGGACTCCTGGCCGAACACACTGGCTGGCGTAACTTTTGGTGGCTGAATGTCGCTCTACTGGGCGCAGCGTTCGTCGTGTCTTTCTTTGCCTTCCCGGAAACCCGATGGCATCGTCACCGAGCCAACGACATTCAGACTAAAACGCGTCATCCATCGAGTACCTCTTTAGCAACAAACCCAGAAATGAACGGCAAGACGAGTCCTCCTAACCTGAAGAACGGGGTGGCTGATCAACCTTACACACCCGTGCAAACCCCAATCCAGCATGGTAAACCGGGGAGAAAGCAATTCAACCTCTTCCAACCCAACCAACAACCTCTAAAGACTCTTCTCATAGAGCTTTGGACGCCCTTCAAGTTGTTCGCTTTCCCCATTGTCGACTTCGCCTCCTTGGTCGTTGCTTGGAGCACCGCATCATTTTTGATAGTAAATCTGACTCAATCGCAAGCCTTTTCCGAATCACCCTACCAGTATACAGCACAGACCGTTGGATTCTTTAACTTCGCAGTCGTCGTTGGTCTCTTGTTGGGATTAGGGACGGCAGGACCCCTCAACGATTGGATCAGCATGCGTGCAACGAAGCGCAACAAAGGGATTCGGGAACCTGAAATGCGCCTGCCTGCTATGATTCCTTACACCCTGATCATGATCTTGGGAAATTTTGTGGTGGGATTCGGGTATCAGTATCATTGGGATTGGAAGGTACGTCGTCTTCCTTCACTTCTTCCTCTGACATGGCGTTTTCTACAACTTTGTTGGAGAAAGAGACAGTTCCTCGTGCTAATTAGCATGTTTCCTACGTCAGGCAATCGTCATTGTCGGTTACACCTGCGCCGGCATCCAAGTAGCATCAATCCCAGCCATTGCTTCCACCTACGCCATTGACTCCTACAAGCCCGTCACAGGCTCCATCTTCGTCAACGTGACCGTCGTCAAGAACCTTTGGGGCTACGGCCTCTCACGCTTCATCACGGAATGGAGTATCGCAGACGGGTTCGTTGATCCTTTCATGACCAATATGTGTTTGACGGCGTTGTGGTGTATTTGCGGGGTGTTATTTTGGTATAAAGGGAAGGCGCTGAGGCATCGGACAAAGGACTCAAACATTCATGACACATAAGTGTTCGGACTGTGTGCTATTCTTCAGCATGTGCCAGCAGATCTTCGAGGAAGTCAATCCGCGGTTTAGGCTGTTGAGATGTTCGACGCCCGAGGGAGGTCAGCCCTCGCTGTGGTTGAGGCGCTATATTTGAATATGCACTTCACTTGAACAATCATCCCAGAAGAGGCTGTAGGCGTATGGATACTAGGAATGGGGACTCTGCTAGTGGTCTACTCTTCGCAATATCGTACCGAAATTTGGAACCATGCAAAAAACACAGACCAGGCGCACGCGCGCGTAGCTGTGCATTCTGATTCTAGTGTGTTCTCAATGTAATGCGTAGCTCGGCCATCTTTCCTCGGAGTCCGAAGGGGGTGGCATAATTAGCTGCCTCGCCTGAATTCGCTACACCTCTTACGAGCGTGCCAAAAATTGGCAAAAGGTGTGGGCAGACGATTGGGGGCAGCATGTATTCAGGCGGGAAGGATGTGAGGTCGTGGGTCTTGATAGGGCTACCGATAAGCGACCCGTGCGCCCAGCAAGCACTTTGAGGTTAGAAGAGTAAGTTGTCGGCACTGACCCGTATCCGATAAACGCCGAGAGGCAACAAATCCTCTCGGCGTTTATCGGATAATGACGGTATTCCCGTAAGTAACCCGCCCGTAAGCTCCACATTTCTTTCGGATTACGAGGGTCGGATCTCGGCAAAACTTGGTGTTGTGTTAATTCAAAGTACGTAAATATGTGCTGCACTCACTTAGCTTGACATATGAGTACTTTATTGTTTCAGGGACTGAAAGGGGCATGATTTGACCGGAGCCGAATACGACAATGACGTAAGATGCAGTCATCAGTATGCCTGCAAAAATGCTTCGATCTCGGGACTTGTCAGATATTCTACTCTAGCAAATCATGATTCGCACCACCCCCTCCCAAAGTATTATACGCAATGCACCCACATTCAATCAGTTGCAATGGGATGCCTATATACCCAGTGCAGGAGACGGTCGAGGCAGTGATGAACTCCTAGCCACCAGAAAGCAGGACGTTGTAGCAATGCATTCCTTCTGCTTGAATCCCATCTCTTTTGCGCAGATCGACCCTCGCCCGACCCGGGAACTTGCATTTTGGGCGGTGAGGCACGATCAGCAACCTTTCCTGCTGCTGCATCGCTCTTCATCATGCAAATTTGTCAATCACGCAGTAGCCTCGTCCAGCCCTCTCTAGGTCGTTTATATTCTCCGCGTCGTCCAGCATGTCAGTCTTCGAGATCTCCGTCACCCTTTCAGTCTCGTTTCACGAAGCAATCATTATGCTATTGTCGCGGATACCATCTCCTCAAGCCGAAGTTGGCGGGCTGCCACCTCCTCCTGGTACCGCAGTGGATTCGGACCATCCAGACACGAATTTGTACAAATACAACATTGCTTGCCAAGTTCTCTGTTATTGCATTGTGGGGCCAAGCGTGCTGGCAAGGATCTACACCAAAATCTTTATAAAACGAAAAGTCGGGTCCGAAGATTGTAAGTTCTTGCCCACTTCCACTTTGCTACCTCCGGACAAGCTGATGAGTGTGAGACTGTTGCATACTGGCATGGGTCGGTCTCCATCTCTCTTCAAGTGCCGAGAGTTTCATCTTACAGTGTTTAGCTACTCGCGATTACACAAATCGCCATAGCCCTGAGATGTGAGTGGGTTTTTGAAGGGTCACATCTGAAAGCACGGGGGTATGCCTTCGCTCCACCGTACTAAAGAGCAACAGGTAACCTCTATCGTGGCGGTTCTCATCAACGGGACGTTCCTATGAGCTATGTTGCACCTTTTCTTCGCGTCAGTGGTCTCTCTTTGCCCTGCCGCCGGCCAGAACGCGCACCTAATATTCTTAACAGCTTCAGTACTTTTCACAGCTCGTATACTATGGCGCCGCTTTCTTCACCAAGACTTCAATCCTCTGCTTGATTGCACGAATCTTTACCCCGCATCACAGAGCCGTCTTCTTCACACGGGTGATCATAGTCCTCATGGCTCTTTATTACATGCCAGCTTTCTTCATCAAGGTCTTCAGGTGTGATCCGATCCACAAAGTCTGGGATACCATGGTCCTAGGGAAATGCATCGCCAGCGAGCCGACCATCTTTGTCGCGGATTGCACCACCAGCCTTGTTTCCGATCTAGCTATCTTACTACTACCGATGCCATTAGTGTGGCAGCTGAGGACTTCGTTGAGACGCAAGCTACGTATCATGGTGGTTTTTGCTGGCGGCACATTGTAGGTCCGCCCTTTCTGGGCCTGCCGCCTGTGGTCCTAGCTCGCAGATCGTATAGCGCTGATATCATCTATAGAGCTTGTGCGGCAAACGTAGCTCGCACCATACAGAACTATACGTTGGACTCTGAAGATGCTACTTATTCGATCGAGGTGATCATGCTTTGGGCGTAAGTGATTTTACCCTTGGCGTCAAAGTCCTGACCAGCTGATTACATCCGCACAGCATTGCAGAGGTAAATATCGGGCTCATCTGCAGCTGTTTACCCATACTTCCCGCTTTCTACCAACATATGCTCAGACCGACGAGCGAGTCAAGCTCCAACATTTCCAGCTACCATCGATTGAAAGCGCTGAAGACAGTTGCCTCTGGTGCTGAACGAACCAATTTGAGCCACGAGGAAGAGGCGCCGAATGAAGCAGCGGCTCATAAAGAGCTTCCAGGGGGGAGCCATGTTACGGGGGGGCTTTCTTTTTCTGTTCAGGGTGGGTCCGATCCGGTTGAGGAAAAGGGAACTTGTTGGAATGGTGGTGGCATCCTGAAGACCGTGAATGTAGAGCAGAGTGGAGTTTCAGTCCCCGAACGCGCTAGCTTGCCTGTAGCGCACATCGGGGCGGCTCGGCCAATGAGACATTGACAGGAGGCGTGAGATATGATTCGGTGAGAAGCCAAGGCCTGAGTTTACGACATGAAGAAGGAAAAGACGTCCAGGCCATCCTTGGGATTGTGAGACGCTCTCCTCAGGAAAGCATAGACGATCCTGCATAAATGTTCAAGATACCACAAAGATGCTCCATGATCATTATGTCCCAATGATTGAACTGCTAAATTTGGTCAGAGACGGCAGTAGGAAGCGGTACAGGAAAGCAGGTATGGTGCACTAGTTCATGTGCAGTAATCCCGCAGTGCATTTGGCTCACTTCCCGACCACCCCCCTCTCCCGGCGAATCCCTCAGCTCCCAAATTTGAGGATGCGGTTTCGCACGGAATGTTGTCCAACCTCTCAACCCGATCGATATTGCCCAGAGAAAAGTTTCGTCAGAGTGGTCCGTTGTGAAAGTATGCCTGGAGACAATGTTAGAAATTTTGAAACCAACGGTTGGCCGACGACTGCATTACCGGCTACAGTCCTAAGCCGGGCAGTGCCGTGTTTTGCGCAGAGTAGCCCTCGGGGTAGTTGAGGAAGGGGAGATCAAGAGGGTGCGAACGCAGCCGGTGTTTCCGTTCTCCCCAGAAGCTGGGGACCGTTCCAGGCAGGTTGGGGATCCATCTGGCCCCGAGTGGGAGGAAAAAATCCGCTTCTTGCGTAACTGCGGGATAAATTGAGCTGAGCGCCCTGGCAAAGATTGTGCGGAGCTCGATCCGGGAAGGCCCCGCGGGAGAAAAAAAAGATAGGCCGTTTCGCTGAAAAAGGGGTGCCGGCGGTTGCGATTTGACGTACTGATGATGGATGCTAACCCAGGCATCCAAACGGTCCGGAAGAACCTTGGTGGTCCGAAGGCCTAGGCTAGTCCACAACGGAGATGTTTGTCCGAACGAATACAGTCCGGGCGTCGTCTGGATTAGTCCGGATTGGATTGGTCCAGACCAACAGTCTAGGGGAGCTCGGACGTGTTACGCCCCTGTTCCATACATGTACCTGCCTCGAATCAATATAGGAACACGCTCTCAGATCGGGCTATTATTGTTGGCGATTTTGGCCTGCGGCGAAGGAAGTGTCTCACATCCTCACATATCAAAGCAGTCGGATCCCTTTCTTGCAGAATTGCCCTAAAAATACAGCAAGAGATCCTCTCTCACACACTCTTGACCGTTGAGGCAGTCGGAACCGTTTTCTGCAGAACTGCCGCAGAGTTGTGATCTCAAAGGGTCTTGCGGAAAACGGATCCGACTGCTTCAATGGTTGACAAGGTATCGTCGCCTAGCCCGCTGCCTGGTGCACCCGGAGACCTTAGACATCATCATATCCACAACCGCCTTGATGATATACCGTATTCTGCTACCGAACCTGATTCCACACCTCTATCTACTCTCAGGTAAAGCTGCCAGGAACTCTCGTCAATTTTCAGAGGCCGTTGGCGCTGCAGCAAACGAAAGTTGTGAAGAAGCTGGTTCCTTTTTCTTTGCCTTTGCTGACATTACGAATAATCAAGTACGTTGACCACATTCAGAACCGCCCTGTCAAGGCTACCGTCAGCCCGGGTTACCTTAGAAGCCTCCTTCCAACAGATCCTCCAAAGAACGGGGAGAGATGGGAAGACATACAAAAAGACATCGGGGGCAAAGATCATGCCTGGGATAACGCATTGGTTAGGGCACCATCGTCATAACAGAAAGATGCTAAAGGTTCATTAGGAACTCTCCGGGCTTCATGGCCTGCTATCCAGCGCCAACATCGTTTCCCAGCATATTGGAAGAATTTCACTCTGCAGCTTTCTCCCGTGTCGGTCTTCAATTGGGACTGTGCCGCCGCTGCTACGGAGCTTGAAACCATTGTTGTGGGCTGCCTGGGGACAATGCTCAGCTTACCACCCGGCTATCTATCTGATAGAGGCATAAGAATGAGTCAAGGGAGTACGTCGAGGCGATTCTCACCGTAATGGTTGCAGCCCGCGAAAGATATCTTCAGCAAAAGGCGAGCTTAAGGGGAGCGAATATTACGGAAGCGAAAATGAGAATGGTCGCGCCGGGAAGCGAAGTAGCACACACCTGCACTGCGAAGGCAGCTACGATTCTTGGTGTCAGGTACAAGTCTGTGCCTGTAAGCATTAGTCAAGCATTCAGTATGACAGGGCAAGCTCTTCAACAAGCGTTACGAGAATGTAGAGATGAAGGACTGGAGCCGTTCTTTCTTACTGCTACCCTAGGTACCACTGCTACCCGTGCCATTGACAGGTTCGACGAGGTTCGATCGGTCGTTCATGACAGTTTGATTTGGGTACGTATAGATGCTGCGTATGCTGGGGATGCCCCGGTATGCGAGGAGTATCAACATCTAACCCGAGATTTCGATGCGTTCTGCAGCTTTAGCATGAGCATGTCCAAATGGCCGCTGACCCAGATCGACGCATGGTAAGTCCCAAGTTGAAAGTTGATGTGTCAAAGAACCCACGGTAATACTCAGCTGTCTCTTCGTCCAAGACCGCAGTCAGCGTGCTGATGCGCTAACAATGGATGCTTTCTATCTCCGCGGCAATACCTCGAGCGAGAATGGCATCGATCTCCGTGATTTGCAGATCCCTCTCTTCCGTCCTTTTCGAGCACTTAAGGTCTGGTTTGTCATACGGACCTACGGAGTTGAGGGTTTTACGGGGCTTATATCAGAAACCACATCGGGCTTGGTAACATCCTTCACTCACTCGTCAAATCCAGACAGGACCTCTTCACTGTAGCGGTCCCTCCTGCTTTTGCCCTTACCGCAATCAATATCATCCCTTGTGCATCAAATGGTGGTCGGGATACAAACGGATTGACCAAGGCTGTTTACACCTTGATTTGCCAACAAGGCGAAATCATGGTCACGAGTACGGTCGTCGCAGGTCTTTACATAATTCGAGTTGTGAGCTCCAACCCAGATTCCCAAGGGAAGTATATCGAGAGGGCGTTCACGATTCTGGTTACGGCGGCAGAGGACGTGCTCAGTAGGGGCTGATTTCGTACCTGCCGAGGCTTCAATGGTTCGAAGTATCAAGTTGTTCCGGCGCTGATGAGGGATCAAATAGCTAGGATAGCGACTGAAAGAACAATCAACCATTTTCCTGAGCTTGTAACTCAGATCGACGCATCGGAACCAAAATCGCAAAGACTGTTGAGGGAAAGAGGCTTGGACCCAGTGAGCATAGAAAGGGGTTGGATTGTTGAGCCGCGAAGAGCTAACATGAGGGCTGCAACCCGGACTGTGCTCAGGAAAGAGCATTAGCTCTTGTGGAAATCAACCAGTGCTGCGACGAGGGAGCCGCTGAATGCATTCCTGGCCATTCTCCCACCAGCCATCCATATTCCGCCGCCGAGTAGGCTGATAAAAGCTACGATGGCAATGCTAGGTTGAAATGGGAATGACGAGAAGACCCGGGCGGCGATTATCAGCATCGAGGTCAAATGGTTGGGGGGGGTGGGGCAATACATACCCCACCGCCTGCGAGGTCTAGATCCAACGTTCTGGGGGAGCATATCGCGGCTACACAACGTGTTAGCGATTATATCGCACTTTGACCATCTTCTACTCGTCATGAGCTGAAATTCGCTGAACTCCAGCTTTGGATGGTCAGGAGTGGGAAAACGGTCAGTTCTTTGGTGCATGGCGTAGCCACCGTACCTTCCCCCGCCGTTTGTGTTCAGCCCGACGGTACGTAGATATCCATCCAACAGCCGCCGGTGCAATCTCTCTAGCTTGGGACGTCTGTATGGGTTTCGTGGTTCGAGCCGATGACCTCGAAAGACGTGCGATCGACGACTTTGAGAAGACCTCCGGCTCTTCCGCGCGACGATCGATCAGACCGGCGTGAGACATTGAACGGATCTGCTGCACGCAGTGGTTGCGAACAGGCCATGGAAGCTATCGCGAACGCGATTTCGTGGTGCCTGCGACCTGGGCTGGCTCCGAGGGCGTTATTTCGGATCAAACGGGACGCAACGGGACGCGCTCTATAGATATCTGTGGATCGTTAAGCGATAATAACGAGATCTAGTGTGCTATAAAATCGCGATCAGAGCATCCAGACGAGCTCCGTCACACATTGGCACTCCATCATCTCGGAAGACGACTACTCTTACATCAGTCGACAACGCGTGCCTTCTTTCGTAGTCAAAGGAGTTTAAAAGAAAATGACTGTTCGGTGCTGCGAAGCATCAATGTGTGTAGAGCTTCTAAGCCTCGCTACCAGGAAAATGCGACAACTGTATCGAAAAAGCCTTGGGGATCTTCTTTTTGGGTGAAGGAAAGCTACATCTCCTACGTTGAATACTCCTTGTTTGAAACTATTGAAGATGAATAGTCAACTTATTCTGGTGGAGCCTCAGCAAAGACGCCGTGGCAGCTTTATCCGAACTTGAGACCGACAGACCTTGCGACGATGAATTATCTCCCACAACCTTGGCATTCGATGCTGCGTGCTCCCCACTGGCGCATCGACGGTATCGGATTACCGTTGTTACAAGTGAGCTTTATGGTACAATAAATGAAGACTCGCACTTCGAGGTAATCGATCCGGCCAAAGTTCCTCCAAATTCTCATACTCTCTTGCATCGGATCACGTTTTAATACCACATGCCAGAGAAAAGGTTTGCGTTGCGGCTCCTGCAACCAATCAATCAAAACTTGAGGCGAGTAGGGGCCTCGACTTTGAATCGAGGCCGACTAGCTTAACCGACCCCCTGGACGTTTCTCTTTGGACTCTTCTCCGCCGCAGAACCCCGCGATCTCTATATTCTACGATCCCCATGGTCTCCGTATCACTCAGCATACTATTCAACTTCCACAGGACCCTCATGGCACAAACGACGGGATCACTTGGATCTGCATCCCAGTCCGTGCCCTCCTCATGGTGTTTATCCAAGCCAGCCTCTACAAAATCGCCACCTCCAGCTAAAGACGCGATCATCACGCTCTTAATGTCCCAGAACCCGAACTCATGAGACGGTGCCAGCATCTAGTGTGAACCGCCTGCAAAGTGAAGAGGAGGATCAACAGGCCATGGAGCGCGAAGACGCGGTGGCGGTAAAGCGACTGACCGGTTTGCACGGCTTCACCCACGCCCCCTTTTTCGGCGTTGAATTTGTTGTCTTGCGCGTTTAACATTTCAGAAGCCCGTTGGCTACTAGGACATCGTCTATGATAGCGGTGAACAATTCCTGCGGCGGCTGACGTTACGGCTTCTGTCAGATTCGGATGTGGCTTCTGTTTTTGCATTCGCTCCACATTGCGGCTTAGCGTTTCACCAAGCACAGAGACGTAAAGGGGAGGGCTCATCCGAGCCGGGAGATTGATCGAGTACGTGACATTTGATTGGAGATGGCCTGTTGGTTCGATATCCTGGGCTTCAGGGGATGTTTGTGCCTCAACGGCAATGGATTGATGTAAACGGTCCACGGTCACGTTGAAAGCCATAGGTGTAAAGAAGACTTCGCACTGGGTTTGGTTGAATTCTGGTTAGGGACTGGTGCCAGCTGCAACAGCTACCATCTTTCGATCATCATTCACCAAGGTAGCCAGGCGGCTGTGTTTTCATATTCCTTGTGCCAGGAGATCACAGGATACAACTGGGGAACGCCCATAACAGAGTTCGGAAGGTGTCCCTTCGCAGAGTAGGTTAAAATCTTTGGCCGGGTCGGACGCAAAGAGTGATCAGACTCCAAGTCTGGGTGGTGCGTGTTCTGATAGTCAGAGGCGGAATTGTTTATGTCTACATAATCCATGAGTCGGAAGTAGAAGTCAGACGTCTTAGTTTGGATACAGCCTACATTTGCGACGTGACCGAATTCAGTGGAATTATACTCGAATACTTTACCGTTAATTATGCCGTCATCCATTTGACCAACGGAGGAGCCCGCGCCGAAGGAACGGCCAATGTATTCCCAATTCGGATTGTCAAGTTTTGAGTGTTTCTGAGGCCAACCGTCTATAGTCGTTGCTGAGCTGGCAGAAAGAAGTCACAGGGCTTGCAATGTCGGGAGAAGCCGATCGACGTAGGAAGCGGAATCTGGTAGGCAGATTGGAAGTCGCGCATATAGAGGATACCTGCGACATCGCTAGAATATGCGGAACAACTTGGACAACAATCTGTGTTGTGGCCTGGTCGTGTTTTAAATACCTATAGAACGACTCCGTAGATTCCCTATTTCCGCCATGACAAGGCGAAAACTGTTACCGTGGGGAGAAGCAGCTCAAGCATGGGGAGGAGCTGTGCCCGCTTTGACTCCATAGTGATACAGTATCGCTGTAGGGAAGGACCATTTGCGGAGTTGCTAGGCGGGACTGGAATGAGGTGAGAAAGGGATTGTCTTCTTCCCGGATAGTAAGGAGATGAGATTGATTCATCTTAAATCTTTCGTCGCGTATTTTCCAGTAAATACGAGCTCGCAAGCCTAGTTTTGAACATGCTCTATACCTGAACTATGGTCAGACCACTTGTAGATCTCTTCCACACCGTTCACCCGGATCTGAAAGAAAGATGCAATGAGCTTGGGATAAAGGAGAACTAGGCAGCAGCGACGAGCAACTGCTGCTTGCTGAGCATGCAGCATTTGGCAGTGCCGACTAGAGCAGGTCTGCCCGAGGCGGCCGATTTTCAGTACTACCTTAGCCATGGATTTGGAAGGGGCGTGGTGGTGTGTTACCGACTGATTTTCGCCCCAAAGTCTAGCGATTCGCTTAGTATGTTGTAATTGTGGGGAACACCCACCAAACCGAACCTTGTACTTGGTAAGGTAGTCAACAGGCCTATTATTTAAGCTGCATTGAGTGGCATTGAATGGTGTCCTCTCTATAAAAAGCTTGCCACACTTGCTGGCCGCTCGATACTACCTTGATTTTTGAAGGCTTTAGGAGGCTAAAGGCTAGGCTGTCGCTCTCACACTAAGGAACGTCCATTCTGACTAAATACAAGGTCGACCATGACGCCCGTTGCAGTGCATCGTAAACGGCGGCCGAATTCAACTAGCGGCCGCTCATGAGTAATAACAAAGACGGTTTACGTCTGGAGCTCCTACTTCCGCCTCCCACTCTTCCCTGAGCCCGATTGGCGATGGAGACTATTGATGACATGCAAAGCGAAATTCCTCGTCGACCACTTCTTGAAAGTGCTTGGATCCTTCCTCAGCGCACAGCCTGAACGAATTTGTAATACTCTCCCCATTTAAGGTTCGAATGTGAAGGTATCGTTCCGTAAGTAGGATCGCAACGTACTATACGCCTGAATGCGAATACGCAGCCCAGATCAGTGGGCTTTTGCGAGTATTTCTCAGCTGCAGCATCGCTGCACGCAAACTTTTGGCACACCTTCTCACATCAATGTCCATATCAGCGCTAAGAAGACCCTGGTAGAACGCCTTAGCTACATCAACGCATTCGTCGTCCAATACTGCCCACCATGTCGATATCGTATTTGGAAAACCAGCGATCTGGAACCCACCAGAATTGTGAATGCGCTCATCAAGTAATTGAGCATCCTGGTTCACGGTCGTCTCGCATGCTGAGAGGTATACAAGCTGACAGCGTTGAAATTGTGCTTCACTTAAAGTCTGGACGCTCAGTGTCTCTTTGCCATAGTCTCTGAGGAGGAGCTGGCTTTTCATTGGATCAAGATTATCAATTGCGCCGTGGGAAGCAGTATGCGCTATTGTGCAGCTTTCGAGGTGGTTGATGACTTCAGACGTATATGGTTCGCGCAGAATACATATAACGAAGTGAGCGTTGATAAAAAATCTCACAGTATCTGTTTCTGTCATGGTTTTGAGAAGGCTTCGTCTATCTGCTGTCGTCCGCATCGCAACCAAAAGTGCTTCGCGAGGTTCTTCTGCATACTGGGAAGAACAGTCTTCCATTCTCTTTCGCGCTTCTCTGAGAGCCCGTAGCGTTGGAGTATAAGAAGATTCAGTGAGATCAAGGATACTACAAGGCTCGCCTGTAGCCGCAGCCCTCTTATGGTCGCCGGCAGCATGGAGAGGTAGCAGATTCGCCCACGATGATGTGACCCACCAAATTCGTGGCCTTTGGCCCTGAAGACGTCTATCAATGGAGATGGGAGGAGATATTAGTATTGGCCGTACAATTGCAGTCCAGAGCCAAAGAAAGACTTCACGAGGTGACTTGTCCGACACATCCCATCGATCCCGTGGAATATCTTCATCCTCGAATATCTTAAGGAGCTGCTTCAATTTTCTATACTGTTCCTCGCACCCATCTTGCACAGCCATGGGAAGGTGAACATTATGAAGTTTATCCGCGCAGATCACGATGGTGTCACTGCGGAACCCGGTAACATTGAGGATTACAACGGGGCCGTACTCAGCAAGCGCTCTGACCTCGAATTCGTCGAAGTCTTGAGATAATGTACGAGCACCACCGCGTTTCTTCATATCGTTATGTAGAGTCTTCTGTCGATCCTACAATATTACGGGATCCTATAAAATATTATTAGAGTTTTTCGATGTCTCAGCAGCTGCAGCGTCTTGCTGCAGGTTCTCTCATCTCGTTGCAAGATCCAGATCTTCCTTTTGGCTTGATCGAGCGGTAAACGCCATGTTAAGAGCTGTTCCCGTATCACACTTCGTCATTTCTCGAGAACGGATCTTGTGGTAGCAAGCGGCTAATCTGCCGCAATGTATACTGAAGCAGCTAATTTTGGCGTGTAATGTAATTTTCTGATGAGGAAGAGCGGATCCAGTCGTCTAAGTCCAATTGGTATTGCATGAGGCATCAGCATACATGCTATACTTATACAAGATTTTGTTGTGTCATCAACCTGGTCAAGACACTTGAAAAAGGAAATCGCAGCCATGGTACCCGCCCAAAGCCGACGGGCAGCATCGAAACAAGGGTTAACCAGTATTTTCATGCACACACGGGTTGCCTCGAGTCCTAGATCTTTTTCGTAACGAGAAAAGAAGATCTTGAGTAGTAGAACGGCAGCGATTCAGATATAGCTTGTTGCTTGGTTTCCAGCTCTTACTCTTCGGGGGTGGATCCATTACCACCTGTTCAATTCGTAACGCGAGTAACTTGTACGAAGCATAGTTCTCGTTGCTGAAGGTTTTCCATTCCCAGACACTGTCCATGATACCATTTATATTCACTGCTAGCTTGTCAGGGTCCGCCAAAAATTCGAGTGCGAGTTCTTGGCTGTACCCATTCTCGGCGGTGGTGGCGGACTCTGCTTCCTGGCTTTGCAATCCAAACACCACCGAAGCTTTATAAATCTTTTAAAAAGATAAGAGAATTTGCGGCGGTGTAAGGTACTTGTGTCTGATCTTTTCATTTCCGCTTTCAAAGCCCCCCGTGCTACAACAAGATCTCGTGCATTCCTCAAATTAGTCTGTGGTTGACTCATAGCACTCAGCTGAACAGACGACACAAATCCAATGATCGTCTTCGTGCGAAGAATACTTGCTGGCCCCATGAGTTGCAATGCCGAGCGAAAGGAGTTTTTTGCGGCTTCGATGTGCGGAAGCCCATGGGTTATCAAGAACATACGTATAGCTGCCGATCTATAAAGACCATGTAGCAGAGATTCATACGGATGTGTACCGGGTGCGTGAACATTGTGAAAATGTTGCAAGGCAGCCCTGAAGGATCCCTGTGCAATAGCAAGCTTGACATCACTACCACCTCGATCAAAGAGTGCAGAGTAGCTCTCCCCGCAGCTTTGAGCAACATAGGTTTTGGCCATTTCGGTTTCACAAGTGTTGATGCCGAAAAAGCTGTTGGTAAATTCCTCGACGAGGCTTTTGTCTCCTGTCCATTTGTAGAGTACTTTCAAAGCATGGGCTTGACAAGCAACTGATCAAGCATAGCGAGTACATCATTCGTCCGATCCTGGTTCGGGCTTAGCTCGTGGGCAAGGTTCCGAGCTTTACAATATTGAAGTTTGTAGTACCATGTGTCGAAGTCATCATCGATACAAAATTCCACTGCAGTCTGTGCGAGAGTGACTGCGACCAATGCATCCCCCAGATGATCTTCATTGGTCGCTCGCATTTGTAGCAGGATGCTGCAGCTGTTCAGTACCGCTGGAATTTGAGTACTGCCATTTTGTGACTTTTCGAGAGCCTCTTATAGGATTTCGAGCCCGTCATCGAGATCCCTTCGCGAGTAGGTCGCCAGAAAGCGCTTCTGAAGTGCTATTCCCAGGACCGCTACATGTTGGGAAGCCCCGCCTGTAGCCAGAACGTCCTTGCGGGCACTTATGACCAAAAGTCGAGATCTTCTTTTGAAAGCAGATAATCCATACCTACCAGGAAGTTGAAACATCAAGAAGCATTATCTATAAAATGTCCACGGCCTGGCATAAGCAATTAGTGCACCGCCCTAAGGGAGAAAGGCATTATAGCTGTGGCTGTGTCGAACTACTTGACCGACAGCCCTCGTGGTAGGCTTCACCGAAGGCTTTCATCGGAAGCGAAGAAATGCATCAGCGGCCATGGCATCGCAGAAGACACTTGCTGCACACTATGCAGAGCAGATGCGACACCATCCCAGCGGCTACGCCATATACGAGCCCGTGAGCAGTGCCTATTTGAGGTCAGGCAGCTGTGGCTATTTCGATGACAGTGGGGAATGGACGACAATCGCTCAATTGGATAATGTCATAAAACTTAAGCGTGAGGGATTTGAGCCTCCAGCGTCTCCCGAAAAGGCCGAAGACATGGTCACTAGAAGTTGGCATCCAAAGTGCTCAACAGGTGTGAACGCGACAGAGCTTGACTTGGGCATAGGGATTCCGTAATTCTGCTCTCAAAAGCTTGCTTTGCTCTTCCAACTCTCAGGGAGACATTAGGCCTGTGTGCATCAGTACGAGCCGCCCTCAAGTATACTTCCTTCTCAGATTTCGGCGCTATCCTGATGACAGATTCGCCTGTTGAAAAGGAAGTAGGAGATGCCTCCGCCAAGGCACTAGTCGCCACAGCTTGACTGGGGGCTAGTGAGGGCACAGCACACACTTATGGCAGGATAGCCGAGATTGCCATATTGGAAGAGCCTTGAATAGGCGGTGTTCCCACCTATTTTTTGCTCCTTATTCTTATTCCTCTCGTCGCAAGAAGAGGTTTTTGCACTTTTCCCACCCACCCACGCCTTGTTTTTTCAGCGTTTCCTTGTACTTAGACTCCAGGTCTTCTACCTTACGTAGAGGGAGTTTTCCTAGGGCTGAGCTGCATAGTGGACCGCTGTCTACGTGCTGCTGGGCCTTAGGACCCAGCCAATCATCATTTAGAACTCATTTGTGCGTGTAGTTTTCGTGGGACGTTTAGCGAGACAGCACTAGGCCATAATCTTGAGTGGTTTGAGACGCGTTCTCACTTTTCGCGTCAAGTCGCGTCCACGCGCCAAAGCACTTCCCTCTCTAAAGTAATGATATGGACCTCCGCAATCCTTCGTCAACAACCATTTGCGAGATATGTCTTCACCAGCTCCCCGTCGGTCGCGGCCAGCGTCAGTACAAGGAACGCCCCAAGCTACACGCCAGAATATACCCTCTTCATCCCCACTCTTTTACCAGTCATCTCCAGCGGCGCCAATCGGAAACGCAAATGGAAATGCCAACATGGACATCAGCTCGCCTCTGAAGCAGGTCTCGGTTGCAGGCAGTACTCCTCGAGCGCCCCCAGGTGGTGAGTTAAGAACCTGCAAGGGATCACAAACGCTAATTTCGTAGATTCATCCCCAATACGCTACGCATCATCGTCTAGTCCCACCCGAGCTGCTGCGAATGGTGACCGACAACCCGATATACCCACAAGCAGCAGCGGTCTCTTCGTTCGATCTTCGAGATCATCTGCACCCGGTACCTCTGGTCTCAACAATTCGAGACGAGGGGACATCCATTCCGACGTCTTTGGTTCAACCCCTAGCCGCCGCCGCCGATTGTTCGTTGACGAGAATGGCGTGCCCGTTCGAGATGGGGCTCCCTCCGATCCGGCGACCTTTTCCAATCTTGACCCTAACACATCAGAAGCCGATGCCATTGGAGGTTCATCTACGAGAATCATTTGGGGGACGAATATCTCCATCCAGGACACGATGTCTACATTCAAAGAATTTCTTTTGGGCTACCAGAAAAAGTACCGCATGTGGGCCGATGGTGCTACAGAGGAAGAGACTTCCGAGCCTGGGAGCGGAGGCAATGAGAGGGAATATGTTGAGATGCTGAACAACATGCGCCAATTGGGAGTTACTGGGCTCAACCTTGACGTCCAAAATCTCAAGGTGTTTCCGTCTACCGTCAAGCTATGGCATCAATTGCAAGCATATCCGCATGAAATTGTCCCGCTCATGGATCAGGCAATCAAGGACATCATTGTGGACCAAGCCCAGGAAGAGATGAACAGGCTGCGGTCAGAGCAACAGCTACAGCGCGCGCAAGCGAGACCTGATAGCTCCATGCCAGCAGTACCGAGCTCAGAGACCAATGGACACGTTGAGCAGCAGTCAATGATTCCGGACCTGGTACAAGAAGCGGAGACAAAGGTGTATAAAGTCAAACCTTTTGGACTCGATAGCTCTGTGAATATGAGAGAGTTGAACCCAAATGGTGAGTGCGTGCGCGAAGATGAGATGTCATGCAGTGTTGATAAGATTCCAGATATGGACAAGATGGTCAGTATCAAAGGTCTGGTCATACGAACTACTCCAGTCATACCAGACATGAAGACAGGTAAGAGAATAAAAACACAGTCTCGCGAGAAATAGAACTGATGAATTCCCTAGCATTCTTCCGATGCCAGGTCTGCAATCACGCGGTCAACGTTTCCCTTGACAGAGGAAAGATTGCCGAACCGACAAGATGCCCTCGACAAGCTTGCCAGTCTCAGAATTCGATGCAGATTGTGCATAATCGTTGCGAGTTTGCGGATAAGCAAGTGATCAAGCTTCAAGAGACCCCGGACAGTGTACCAGATGGCCAGACGCCCCACTCAGTATCTCTATGCGCATACGAGGAGCTCGTCGACGTGTGCAAGGCAGGTGATCGCATCGAAGTCACTGGTATCTTCAGAAGCAACCCGGTCCGCATCAATCCAAGACAGCGGACGATCAAGGCCTTGTTCAAAACGTACATTGATGTTCTGCATATCCAGAAGGTCGACAAGAGGAGACTGGGCATTGATGTTTCGACGATCGAACAGGAGCTCTCTGAACAAGTCGCGGGCGATGTCGAACAATCCAGAAAGATCAGTGAAAAAGAAGAGCAAAAGATTAAAGCTACTGCTGCCCGAGGTGATGTCTATGAGCTATTGGCGCGATCGTTAGCTCCAAGCGTTTATGAGATGGACGATGTAAAGAAAGGTATCCTGCTCCAATTGTTCGGAGGTACAAACAAGTCTTTCGAAAAAGGAGGAAACCCAAAGTACCGTGGGGATATCAACGTGCTGCTCTGCGGTGACCCCTCGACATCGAAATCGCAAATCTTGAAGTACGTTCACAGAATCGCACCTCGAGGAGTGTACACCAGCGGCAAAGGATCTTCAGCGGTCGGCCTCACGGCCTATATCAGCCGAGATCCCGAGACACGACAAGTAGTCCTCGAGTCTGGTGCGCTGGTCCTGTCAGACGGCGGCGTTTGCTGTATTGACGAATTCGACAAAATGTCAGATTCGACTCGATCTGTTCTGCACGAGGTGATGGAGCAGCAGACGGTCTCTATCGCCAAAGCTGGCATAATCACTACGTTGAATGCTCGGACCAGCATTCTCGCTTCCGCAAATCCGATCGGAAGTAAATACAATGTCAATCTTCCGGTACCGCAAAACATCGATCTTCCACCAACACTGTTGTCTCGATTTGATTTGGTCTACCTCGTCCTCGATCAGATTGACGAGCAAAATGACCGACGATTGGCACGACATCTTGTGGGTATGTATCTCGAGGACACACCCGAGAATGGAAACGCTCAGGAAGTTCTCGTAAGTTCGAACTTTCGCCAGCTTAATGGATGATCTCTAACTCTGCGCCAGCCCGTTGAATTCTTGACCTCCTACATCTCCTATGCACGTACAAAATGCCAACCCAAAATCACACAAGCTGCTTCCGAAGCTCTTGTCTCTGCATACGTTCAGATGCGTAAACTTGGAGAAGATGTACGCGCCGCTGAGCGCCGCATCACGGCCACGACTCGTCAATTGGAATCCATGATTCGTTTAGCAGAAGCTCATGCCAAAATGCGCCTGGCCGAGGAAGTCACTGCTAATGATGTGCATGAAGCTGTGCGATTGATCAAATCGGCGCTTAAGCAGGCTGCCACAGATGCAAGAACAGGCTTGATCGATATGGGCCTTCTTACCGAAGGTACCAGCGCAAGTGAGAGACGACGCAAGTCGGATCTGAAGAAGGCCATCACGGATTTACTTGATGAGATGACAAGGTCAGGCGGATCAGCCCGATACAGTGAAGTGTACAGACGAGTCAGTGAGCAAGGTAGCGCGCAGGTCGAAGGGACTGAATTTGCAGAGGCATTGAGAAGTCTAGAGCAGGAAGGTCAGGTGGTAGTGGGAGGCGAAGGGCCACGAAAGAACATCAGGCGGGTTACTGGCGTCGTTTGATCCCAACAAGTCGGTGTTGGATGTGTCAATGCAAAGGTCTTGCTTTTGAAGCGGTCACCGAGGAAGACTCGTTGGTTGTAATTTAGCAGTGATGTTTAGAGCCTGAGTTATGGAAATTTATACTACCCTTGACCTCCCCGCTCTGAGTCCTCACGCAACAGAATCTACCTGTTATCAGAAGGGTCCAAGCAAAGTCACCAGAGTGGAGAAGTCCCGATCTGACAGCTGTTACCCAACATTAGGTTTTTGACAGGGCTGACTAGCGCGTTGGGCGCGTCACGTAGAGTGCTTGGTCCTCGACGTAAACTGAGTGCTTGTCAATTGGTCAACCTCCTTTACTTCAGTCAATTGGATCAATTGGATCTTGGAATTGCTCTCGCCATGGCTACTCCCCTCAAGCGTAAAGCCGGCGACATTGCTACCTCTACCGCCAAGAAACCAAAAGCCAATGCCACCATAACTTCCTTCTTCTCCTCGCCCTCCAGCACAGCAAAGCCAGCTGCCGCTGCTGCTGCATCTACAGCCTCTTCGACCGTCTCTTCTTCCCCTGCTACCGTCCACGATGACGCCTCTCAAAAGTCCACCGCATCAACAACTGCCACTACTGCATCCATCTTCACGTCTGCCGCCACGGCCCCTCCACCAGCAGAAGCAGCGGCACCGCCACCAAAGTTTGACAAAGGGAAGTGGGTCGAGAAGCTCACGCCTGAGCAAAAAGATCTGCTAGCACTGGAGATTGCGTCTCTGGATGAAAGCTGGCTGTCCCAGCTGAAAGATGAAGTCGTCACCAAAGACTTCCTCGATTTGAAGCGTTTCCTGAAGAAAGAGCATGAGAATGGGAAGAAGATTTTTCCTCCTGCAGCTGATGTGTATTCATGGTACGTTTAAGCTAAACCAAATCCTGCTATTCTACCATATTATGTGGTTAACAAAGCGCATAGGTCCCGTCACACACCCCTGAACACCGTCAAATGCGTGATCCTAGGCCAAGACCCCTACCACGGCCCCAACCAAGCCCACGGTCTCTGCTTCTCAGTCCGCCCTCCCACCCCGGCGCCCCCATCTCTCGCGAACATCTACAAGCTTCTCAAGATAGAATACCCTGACAGCTTCGAACCTCCTCCCAAAAAGGGGGGCTTGCTCACCCCCTGGGCAGACCGTGGTGTATTGCTCCTGAATACGTGTCTCACGGTGAGAGCGCACGAGGCCAACAGCCATGCAAATCAAGGTTGGGAGAAGTTCACGCAAAAGGTGATTGATATTGTGGCGAAGAAGAGGACGAACGGGGTGGTGTTTTTGGCGTGGGGAACCCCGGCAGCGAAGAGGGTGGCCAAGTTGGATAGAGTGAGGCATTGCGTGCTGCAGAGCGTGCATCCGAGTCCTTTGAGTGCGGCCAGAGGGTTTGTAAGTGCTTGCTTTCAATCCGTTTTTGAGCGGAAGGGTTGCTAATGGATTTTCGTAGTTTGATTGTGGACATTTCCAGAAGACCAACGCGTGGTTGAAGCAGAGGTATGAGGAGGATGGGGCTATTGATTGGAATTTGGACGTTCCTCCTGAGGAAACCAGCGTTTAAGAGGAAAGAGCAAGGAGTCGGAAGGGCGAGTAGAAGAGGGATCTGCCACGTCTTATGCAACGCAGCTTCATGACATTATCGACCTATGTCTTGCTGTCACAATGTCCAGCCTTCTTTGAAGGTGTACAGTCCGGGAGAAATATGCGAGGCCTCTGTAGACAAAGGGACAATGAATTACAATCAGAAAGCACCGAGAAACTTTAGTCGTTCTGAGCAGTGGTGAGTGCCAAAGAAAGGGAAGTTGGGGGGGGGGAATAACCCAACCTCAGAGTTCCTCGCAGGAGTGCACAACAATGCTTCTTCAAGGCCTCCTGGCATTCGCAGGGGTACGGTAGATTCTCTTTGACGTCTTTTGTACTAGAGTAAATAGAAAGGCAACAACTCTTCCAGCACTGTACGGAGACCTTGAATTATCATGACTGTTTGTGATTTACGTACTTTGGCTACTTTATGGTCAGTAAAAATGAGATTTTGTCTCATCTGGAACATGAATGTTGAGTGAGGAAGACAATAGCCCGGGATAAGGTAGCTGGGACGAGCCGCAAGATTGGGTCCATCTCCGCTAGCCGGGTATCTTTCCCAGATTCTAAGGTAAGCTTTACGGTTTACTTTACCTTACGCCTATATTCTTAATCATTGGGAAACAAAAAGTTCCCGCAAGCACCCCCCTCTCGAAAATTGAAAAATGAAACTTCTAGAATAACTTCACAACAATAAATTATAATTTTCTAAAAACTTTATAATCATTAGAAGATATTATAAAGATTAAGATCTTTAATTTTTAGAATATTCTAATTATCTGCTATATAGTAAAAATAAAAATTTATTAAATTCTTAAGATTTTTTAGATAAGTCTTGGCGATTATAGAATAGCCGAGGTAACTTTTTTAATATAAAGCGTATATTCTTAATTTATATCATATCTTACGATATTCAAGTTGAAATCTTCTAAAATTCTTAGAATTAGTTATTTAGTATTATGAGAAAAGATTTTAAAAAATTATAGATTATAAAGATGGTGGTTGTAAAGATATTCAAGAAATTTCAATTTTTGGTTTTGGAGGGGGTGCTTGCGGGAACTTTTTGTTTCCCAATGATTAAGAATATAGGGTTACGAGTGATGTCCAGCCATGACTGCCAATCTACTCCCTTTTAAGATAGTATACATATGTTATGACTGTGATAACGGTACTAGGGTTTTTCCTTTTGACCTTTGAGCCCTGCATTCGAGTGATTGGGCCATCATTCTCCCATCGTTCTCACGTGGTGGTAGGGCATCGGGTAGTCTAGCCTTTAATCATTGCCCACACAAAATGTGTTTGCCATCTCTTTCACTGTCTGATCCCCTTCTCTCTCTTACCTTCTACTGGGCCGTTCCGCTCCGAATTACTGGCTCTTGAATAGCTTCATCTCCTACTTAATACTCACACACTCTCTTCTCGTCAATTTCTTGCTCTATACAACATGGCTGTCACCAAGATCTTGGTGCTCGGGAGCGGAATGGTAGCTCGTCCTTGCGTGGAGTATCTCCTGAGAGATCCTAAGAACAATGTGACAATCGGTAATGATCCTACTCTTCAATCTCAGAGGTCGAAGCTTACTCAATGGTCTTCCAATAGCGTGTCGAACCTTGTCTACGGCTCAGAGCCTTGCATCAAGCCTACCTCAGACCACCGCCATCTCTCTTGATGTTTCCAATTCTGTCGACCTTGACAAGGCCATTAGGGCTCACAGTCTCGTGATATCACTCGTTCCATATATCTACCATGGCACAGTGATCAAATTAGCCATCAAAAACAAGGTCAATGTTGTGACAACAAGTTACGTATCCCCTACGATCAAAGAGCTAGAAAATGCTGCAAAAGAGGCGGGAATTGTGGTTCTTAATGAGGTGGGCGTAGATCCCGGGGTCGATCATCTATGGGCAATCAAGAAGATCGAAGAAGTCCATACAAAGGGTGGAAAGGTCCGTCGATTGCTGTCTGAACGATGATGTCAATCGGGCTGACTATTGAGAGTGAAATAGGTGAAGGAATTCTACAGCTATTGCGGCGGTCTGCCAGCGCTTGAATGTGCGAATAATCCTCTCGGGTTCAAATTCTCTTGGTCTCCACGGGGCGCTCTCATGTCGCAGATGAACTCGGCCTCATTCATTCTCCATGGCAAACAAGTCGACATTGCTGCTAAGGATCTTATGGCTACTGCTAAGCCGTATTTCGTTGCAGATGGTTACGACTTTGTCGCCTATCCCAATCGCGACTCTGTCCCCTTTCGCGAGTTCTATAAGATCCCTGAAGCGGATACAGTCGTGAGAGGATCGCTGAGATACGAGGGTAACCCAGCGTTCATCAAGGCGTTCGCGGATGCTGGCTGGCTCGATGCTAATGAGAAGGGATGGCTGAAAGCGGGAATGACATGGGCACAGATCAGTCAACATGTTACTGGTGCTGACGATTCTACCGAGCGGTATATTACCCCGTTCTAGTCTATCATTGGAGATATCTAATGACTTTCTACTCTAGCTCTCTTCTCGCAAGCATCAGCAAGAAATGCAACTTTCCCAGCGAGGCTGAGCGCAATCGCATCACCTCGGGCATGCGTACCTTCGGTCTCTTCTCATCCGAAAAAGCAACCATACGCGGAGGTAATCTTTTGGATACTTTATGTGGCCAATTGGAGAAGCTTTTGAGCTTTCAGCCTGGCGAACGAGATCTTGTGATGCTTCAGCATAAGTTCGTTGTGGAATGGAAAGATGGCAAAAAGGTTAGTGATGCTCCGTGCTGGATGAATCGTAAGAAGTGGCGCCATCTCATTAGGTTCTCAACCCATTTCTTGGCTTGAATTGTTTAGGCACGACCAAGCAGAACTCCTGGCACACTCTGGCCCTTCTCTCTGAACTTTGAACTCGATGAGTCCTCGATATGAGGCCCTTCACCATTCCCCATTTTTTCCTGGGCAGACCACTTGGTATAGTTCTCCGCAAATACACAATGACTAACGATATCTCGCAGGACACTTCCACCTCTACTCTTGAGCTATTGGGAGATCCGAAGGGATACTCGGGCATGTCAAAATCAGTTGGCGTGACTTGTGGCATTGCAACTCAATTGCTGCTGGACGGTCATCCTGCTCTCAACACTCCAGGCGTTCTCGCGCCATATGAGAAGGAGATCTGTGATCCCATCAGAGAATTATTAGAACTTGAAGGGATCAAGATGGTCGAGAAGATCCTGTGAAAGACGACCTTTCGATAGTCATTCACCAGACATCGGGATAGATGGACATCGATTCAGTGATATGCGCGATTCACTCTACGCCTCAGTTGCATGAATCAGCTTGCGATGGAGCCTGGAGCTTTGCTGAAGCCTGAACTCGAGGGTCTGCTCCGAATCGCGCTCTTCAGCAAGGACTGGGCCCTTCTTGAAATTGACACGAGTCTCAATGAAAGACCCCGGCAGCTGACACGGAATTACGAGAAACTGTGACGACAGGGTATACCCCTACAACTGTCGAAGTCGAGCCTCTCTTTCGGGACCAGGTGGATGTGACATCAGCTTCGCACAACACGCTAGAACCTCGAACCCGGTTATCAGATGGTCGTGGAATATAAGGTCGACAATCACTTGCTCGGTTATGGGCCTGACAATAACTTATAACGTATTCGTAACGTGTGTTCAAAGTGTTAGTAACGGGTTTGCAACTACGCTTATCGTAGTGCTAACGTGATGTTTAGCACCCGAGCACAGCAGATTGTAAGAGAGCAAAATCCGGATCGTCGGACGCGGAAACGTCGACTTCTTGTGTCTCCTTACCGGTGCAGCTCAGGCCTCTGCGTCCCAGGCTTCGAGATCCTCGGCTTTGGCATCATGAGAATTTTCCATACGAAATACCCTAGAGGCCGTCGTGATGTTGTCTACAGGCGCGGAACTACTTGTAAATGTGGATTAGACGCAAAAGACGGGGCAACCAAAGCCTTGAAGCCCAAGCGTCGTGGGGACTCGCGCCATCTTGTGGTACCTCAAAGCAAAGAGGCATAGTAGAAGTCCAGACGTAGAACGAAGTAGTTTCATAGTTGAAGACTTTACATGTGGACCTGGTCGTGATGGTGTCACTTAACATGGGTATCTCGCTTCATGCACCGTGATTCTTCATCTGGAGCAATGCAGCCATGAATGCGTGCGAATATGCTCGAACCCTTTCTCAATGCCTGATGTGTACGTATCACGCTGATTATCAAACTTTCGCTACGGGATCGAATTATCCGAATCATACCCGTCTCTCCCAGGCGGATCGAGCTGCCGCGTCTCCGAATCCAGGACAACAAATAAAGCCCGCCCTTTGAAACAGCCCAAGGCATCACAGATCGAGTGGATAGAAATCTTCCCCAACGGGCAGAGTGACAGGGGTGGATCTTGATTGATAAGTCTTTCTTTCCTGTCCCATGAGATGAGGCTACAGCATCGGGCGAAGGATATCCATCAGAGATCTGCCCTTGTAAAGCCTCGCTCTCGATGTCCGTCTCGCGTTGCTCGGGGAGCCGGCGTGGATATGTGCGTCGCGCTTGAGCCTGGAGTGAATATTTGCCGCTGATCCATGGCTGCACCGCTTCTTTATCATCAATCCATCAATCAATCAATCAATCAGTCCAATCAACTGACTGACTTACATGCCGAGCTGAGATTTTTTTTGGGGAGCACATGGAGTTGAGGATGGGACTGGACTCTACAGGATGGACGAATGGGGCTGACATGGGTGTTTGTGTCCGACAGCTGTCGCTTCCTCGTTTGCACGAATGGGATGAGGGTGTGTGACGTGGTTCGATGTTGGGGGTGCGTGGCGGCTGGGGAGATGTGTTTGTGGATAAGGTATGGTTTCGTGGGGGTACCTCGAATGGAGATTGATTGTGGCCGTTTCCGGTGGAAGGGGGCTACGGATCGTTGTACTTGGGGATGGTTCAAGTGGGCACGGGGTGCGGGTCGGTGTCTGTAGGTGCGGTCGTAATGCTGGCGGCTGTCATGACATACCTGAACGGGGAGGGGGAATTGTGGTGTAGGAAACATGCGTGACAAGCTTAGAGAGAACGTGGAGAGTTATGCGACATGGAATTTCGACGCCACAAGGCCGATTGATCGACTCTGTGCCAAATGAAATCGAGGAACCGAACGGTGTTCTTTTCTAATTTTGCTGTAGAGTACGCCCTAGAAGCTGAAGCCGTAATTTCCTTCATGAGACATCAGTAACGATACTGCGCGCTGCTTGACTTCCGGCAATGAGTGGCAGGTGTTTCCGGGCTCACACCAAAAATTGATGTGCGAACAATGCCGTTTCAACGTGTGAAACTGCCAATTTTTCTGACAGCTTGGCGAGTGAGACCGCGAGTTCACTCTTGTGGCCCACATCCACGCTCCAAACGGGGAGCCAGCTCATAGAATCCTGGAGACCATGATGTGGGGCGGCACCACGCACTGCGGACTCAACAAATTAGTTTCGATCTTTTGTTTTCACACCTCTAGCAGGAATGTTTTAGACTGACTGTGGCTCACGCTCGCCTGAGTCTTCGCAGCGCCGGATACATCTCCAGCCTTGAGTGTCCACGTATTTCTCTTCAAAATAGTCGCAGTCTGGCTTCCATCGCAGGTTCAGGATGATGGTCGCTTTCAGATCGCCCAAGTTTGAGAGTAAATCATTGGTTTGCTGACCCCACTGGTACTCGAACACGTCATTGCGGGTAGGGTTGCGTGGGATCAGGGTGAAAAACACGGTTTTCAAATTTGGTAGGTTGGTGGATAGATATGTGCCGAAAGTCGTCGATGGGCTAGGGTCAAACGAAGCGTGGCTGTCCACAAACTCAATTGCAATGTGCCTGACATGTTGTCTGTGGATCGGCTCCACGTGTGCGCAGAAAGTCTTCAAGGCTGTGACGTCGACGGAGAAATCGAAGGATAGTTGGGATTCGATGTATCGCAAGACTTCGGACCGAAAAAGATGATTGACGTAGCTGAGAGCGAGAAAGTTGCTGCCTAGCGGTCGTAGGGATTGAAGTGACAACTCGTGGTCATTTTGAGAAGCCAAGCGCGAGATCTCGTGGAATAATGAATGGACTGAATTATCTAGCATGATGATTTCTGGCCTGATCCGTGGCTTTCGTCGGGCTTGGATCTTTTGATTGTTCTGCGTCCGCCTCCGTTGAGAAAGGGCAAAAGCAGCATTTTGTATCTCGTCATTCCGTCTGGCAAAGACGAACGTCGCATTCTGGATTCGCCCCAGTATTTGGTTAATCTCGGCTGTATCTTCTGTGTCTGCTTCCTGAAGTTCAGCAGCAGCACGAACTATCTGCTGCGTGAGACGGTCGGAGGCTTCAGGCATTCGACTGCTGATCCTCCGCAGCTGCTGTATGTGGCTTGAGACGTGTTTTCGATGTCGCAACTGGCCGGTATATTCGTAGATGGCCATTTCAATCATTTGGTCGGTATGCGCTCTATGGGTCCCGTTGAGTCTATGTTGATAGCTGGCAGTCCATCGCAAAGCTAGCCGGCAATTGATTAGCGCCTGAATGTAAAAAATAGGGATCTGTGTCACCTTTGTGGAAGGCCTCTTCTACAGGATCAGGCCATTTGCCTCGGATACTGCTTCTGCGGCGATAGCGCTCGTAATGAGGATCTTGGAGCAGCATTGCATATGAAGGGAGCCCCATATCGCCTGCCCAATCCCCTCTCTCTGTAGCTCGCAGCACGATGAGTCCTTCATCTCTCGTCGAGAAAACGTAAGAGTAGATTCGGAGGCGTAGCTCTGGAGGTAGAACACTAAGCATATTGACTTTGGGAAGAGCGATGGTATTCTCTTACACTGCGGCGCTCTTCTTACGATGATATAAGTACAGATGTGGAGTTATGCCGAGATAAGTTGAAACAAAACAGCCAATGAGGTGGTGTAAAGCTAGGCATCTGCGAACCCTTGCATTATATCCAAAGCACTGTGAGACGTCAAGGGGCAGGAGAACTGAGCAGCTGATCCATAGCTCATCCTTACATGAAGTCGCTAATTTCGAGACAGACTAGCCAATCTGGTTCTTTGGTGGACCTAGTGTGGACCACTTCTACCAAGAGACAAGTCAAAATAGGATTCGAACGGAGAGGCCTGCCTCTGCTGCAATCTCTTCTTCGTGCATTGAAGAAGTTTAATAGCTTGAAGAACGTGGTAGTGAATATTGCACCAGGATCAAATCGATGGGAAGCAGTGCAGGTGGACATCTTCTTTGGAAGGATCTGAGTCATGTCCGCAGTTGGGGTTGCAGGAATGTTTGATGAGTCTTAACTGCATCGGAAGCAAGCATTTAGCATTGACGATTCCTGACATGCGGCGGCAATGTCAATACAGTCCGTCAGCTTGTCAAGGCTTCCAGACAAAGCTGAGTAATGATCGCAACTCTTTTTGAACAGGTATTGGTAGAAGCGTGGATTCTGTTGTTGCCCTTTCAGATAAGTATAAACTTCCCGCATCCTCCTTGATAGCCCTATTCCATTTGAGTCCGGCAGTTCCAGTTCCAGCACTGCTCCTGCATGGTGTCAAGCTTGAGATCCAGCTGGGAGCAGCGATTGCGAGAGAGAGACGGCCTCGACGGCCCCCAACCCTGCCATACTCGTAGGGCTGCGCTAAGAATGGACGTGGTTGGCGACGGTGGTACTCATTACCACCATGATCGAGTGGCTACTAAAAGAATTGCATTGCCATGCGTTTGACAGCACTGGACGAGCATAGCAAGAGGATCCTTGTCAAATTGCGTAACAGTGCTGTCCAGAGAGGATTAGTGACTCGAGATTTCAATCTCTTCCTACCACTTGCTGTCAACTTGATGTCTCCTCCCCGTTGTCATGATGTTAATGATCCATAAAATCCACATACGCTGTGCGTATGCTGACAGGAAGCAACGAGAATGGCAGATGGAGGTTCAGAACGGGATTGGATTGGCTTTGGTTGAATTGGTGATGACGTCGTCTCTCGACACGCCATTTGCTCAACCCGACTCTTCCAATTCCTCAAATTTCTAGACACCGATTTCTTCTGCAATACCACAAACCCAACCCGAACCAACCAACGAAACAAACCACAACAATGCCTCACTCCAAGACACCCGGCGGCTCAGGCGCCAGCGAGAAGTTCCTGAAGCAACAAGCTGAGAGTGACTGCTCCCTCTCTTCTCTTCTCTTCTCTTCTCTTCATCCATCCGCATCCTTCTTGCTAACCCGCCTACAGAACACGGCGAAGGTGCATCCAATGCGGGCGGCCATACCGAGGGCAAGGCACCGGGAGAAGCACCCGTACGTCTACACTCCGGACTGGTTTCCTTCCCAGTCAGTCCCGTCTGCTGACTCCGAACTCGTGCAGGTAGCTTCTGACTCTGGCATCTCGGATGTGGGAATTGAAAAGGGAACGAACCAGCCTGGAGAGAAGGGGATTCTTGGGCCTAAGATGGATCCTGTGCCTGATAGCTCGAAAGATACGAGGGGGGTTTGAGAAATTGGATGGCTCAGTGGTGGAGGACTATAACAAGGTGGACGGCAGAGGTCCGGAGAAAAACATGCATTTGATGTAACCATCATTGCTCTGCGAGGAATGCCGAGACGAGCTTCTAGCCAGCTGCTGTGCGTTTGAAATATCGTTGTGCTATCAAGATGCTCCCCAGACACTTCCGCGGAAAGGCTCTATATGGGAGCATGCTTTCCTTCGTCCATTCTCTTACTGCCGGTCATTGTCGCAAGTGAGCTGTGTATGAAAATGCTAAACCATCTGCTAGCAACCCTCTCATCCTTGCGGCAGTTGATGAATTCCCTTTATCCTAAATCCAGACACGATCAAGAGTGATTCCATTCGGCATAGAAGCATGTTCGTCTGATCCTTTGCGTTCTACGATTTTCAAGACGCTTGGTCTACAATAGGTATTGCCCCTTCAAGCTGCCAAATCTTTTGAAAGACCAGCTAGGGGTAAATTCGAAATCGAAACCTGAATATATGCCATCAAGGAGATAAGATCCCCTGATAAAATGTCACTCGAGGCTGCGGTTGGGGAAGAGTAAGCGCATGCCTCTGCGTATCATCCAGATCAAGAGTCACTGGACCATCCAGCAGATCATTCAAACTAGCTCAATGGTGGTCATCTCGAACGTCTTGTTGCCGTAATGGCAATCCGACAGAAGATCTCATGAACGATGCGACGTGCACATGACCGTCCGAGACACGCAGAAGCACCAAGCGCCCTTTTTCCGGGATCTCGCCTCGGCAGATGATGATATATTTGGTTGAATCAACTGCTTCGAGCAACCGAAGTCTGTGACGATCAGCTTGGTTGACCAGAAGGACGGGCGCTTTTTGCTCAAGGCAATCAAATATGCCTGGAGCACGTGGCCAATGACTGTGAGCCTTGCAAATCTCGGCTGCGTCTCGATACTGGACGTAAAGACGTACGCCTCGCTATGGACTTTTGACAGGCCAAAACTTGAGCTCTTCGAGCGCATGTTCATTGATTTTTTCGTGGTCGAGGTATCGGATCACGGCGGAGGCGAAGAGCTCATCTAGGCTGACTAAAGAGCATCCTTGCAGGACAGTGGCGAGAGATTCGAAGTCATTCCCACCCGATAATTTGACAGGTGAGAACTCGTAGACACTGGCGGCGGGGTCCCCGTTGTCGACATTGTCGCTGCTGTCACTGTCTTCAAGGTTATAAATGTTGTTGACTGTTTTTACCCACTCAGGCTGGGTGAAATTTTGCCTTTGCGGTGTCAAAAGATTGTCAGTAGGTCTAGGGAACTTGATCGCTCTAAAGCGATCTCTGGTATTCATTTGGACCAACCGACCAATAAGTGGTTTTATCTCTGCCGAACTTTCCAGGACAGGCCGGATCTTTGTTCGAATCGCGTCCGTCAACTCTTCCGCCAAAGAGAATTGTTCCACGAAGTATTAGAACGTTGCGAAGAGAACTAACTTTAAGCGATCCGTCGTCTGCTGTAGGATCTTGGTGCAGAAAATTCGAAGGGCGCGATTCACAGGGAATTAGAACAAAACTTTGTCACAAGTGTGAAGCTCAAGAAGCAAGAAACTACGGTGACAAGCAAGATTGTGTGTACTTTCAACAGTAAAGGATATAGAATTAGTAGATGCCTTAAAAGCGAAGCACTGACTGCAGAACAGAGGGGACAGCTGTGTTCGACCACGTCTTGGTCGAAGAGAAACACCTCAAAGGTGCTATGGAAAGCGGGCAATAGCAGGCACTTCAGGGCCAAGGTATTGCGACATACTCGAATGTTGATTGGCTGAGAGGCGCAAGGGTTTGCGGATATCGGAATGGTGAAAACGCACAGAGCTCGGGCAAATCACCGAACGTCTAACAAGCCTTTGTCGGCTGCGTCCATCTTCCAAAGCAGTCATTGCCAGCTACTACTCATGAATAATTCTTCCGACCCGGGAAGGAGATCCGAACTGTTCAGTATGAGCCAACGAAGCATTGAGGTGTGTTGGCGGAAAGAGGAGAGGACCTTATCATCGTGCTGAACTTTGCTGCCTAGTAGATGCTCCGGGAGATGATGTCAGTAGATCCCAGAGGTTGGCCTAAACTTTGGCCAGCAGACCCTTCCAAGGTCTCGCGCTCTCTCACAATAGTGTTGGTGGAATTGATCAGGATGTCTGGGATGTAAGAAGCAAATTGAACAGGGTCTTTCGATGATATATGTTAGTCTTATATATTCTAAAAGGAATCAACGCCCCGCACTTCTTCCTGGTGTTTCTGTACCTTTTACTACAATGCCCTTTCCTAACCTGTTTTGGTTTCTCATGACCCGTGACAGCAATCAGATATTGCTGTAGTCTCTCCATTTGCACATGAGCATCGTACACACGTCAACACCAACATTGGGGTTGTCATTGACCTTGGAGCCTATCTCTTACTGTCAGGATCGCGGAGACATCGAACTTCAAGTGACTGGAAGTATGAATACTTTTTGAGTTCGAACTCTCTGTGAAAGAAGATGGCTACTCCCTCTCAGCTCTTTCGTAGATCAGGTCACTGTTCCATTATCTTTTTCAGAGTCTCGTGCCAGCACCTTTGCCTCTCTCCGAGCCCTTTTGGCGCTCAGTGGCTTCCTGAGAGTTGCCTTCTTCTTGTCCAAAACGGCATGCCACAACTTGAGATTTCGCTTTTTCTGTCTCATTTGTTCCTCTCGTTTGGCTTTCTCTTCCCATTGCCTGTTTTCCTCTTCTGCGGGCCTCATATCAACCCTAAATTTTTCCACCACCCAGCGGTCTATGTACGTGGACTGCGCATCTTCACACTCTCGGAATGCCTTTTCTGATAAGTACCGGGAGTGTGTGTGCTCAGATTTTGGTTTTAGGCCGCGCTTGCTGAGTCTCTCTGCATCCCACATACCCCATCCCCACTGCTCTATCGCTGATCGATCGAGATCAGACCTCAACTCGGCCACAAGAAGATGATCGACCGAGTTCTCTGTATCTTCTCGCCAGTGATCGAGGTCCTTAGTAAGCCGCTGCACCAATGCTGGTTGCCAACTCGAAAGAGACGATTTTCCTTGACGTCGGTATTGAAAAGCGTTGATAAGAGACGACAAATGGAAACGCACTGCCTCAATGTCTTCGACTGGCCAAGAGGGTATACTGTGCATGCAATAATGCACGGTGCGCGAAAGTTTTTTCCCTGTATGCCCGTAGAGCCAGCCAGTGTTTGGAAAGCATGGCTGTCCAGCCTGATGCGCTCGATAATGTACAAATCGCCTCGTACGCTGCGATTGTGCATCATCCTCGGCTCTGGACGTCATATATTCTTCTCCATGGACGAGTTCGTAGCATAGTTGAAAATACCAGAATGCTCGACGAATGCGGTAAAGCTCTGTCGAAGAAGGTGGTCTTTCTGGTTGCTCGCTTGGTGTGACGATACGAGTCTGAGCGAAGTCTTGAACTAAAACATCGATGTCGTGTGATATGCTCCAAATGTCGCGAATGGTGGCAATCGGGTCAGAGAACCACTGCAGATAATGGGGCTTTCCGTCACGTTCTCTATCATCAGAACGAAGATACTTATAAACAAAATTCTTCCGCTCTCCTGCTCCTTTCCCTAATAAAATCTGTTTTGTTGTGCTGTCGTTCCGAAGCGTCATAACAGCAGTGACAATCCTGGAAAGCTCATGCTCCCTGCCTGCTCTGATAACATTCGCAAAAATTTCTTTCTGAAAGTCCTCGATAAAGCTGACTCCTCTATTGTGAGCTGCGAGAAGCGTTAATAGGCCGTTGAGTGAAGCGAAGTCAGGAATGTATTTTGTGATTTCGAGGAGGAGTTCTGTGGGAAGAGTCTGCAGACTGCGGCATCCCGGAGTTTTGGTTGGGGGAGCCATTTGCGAGCCAGGGCCACCCAATAACAGACTCATAGAAATATGTAAAGAAAGGCTGAATGATGAGTTCGTGGATGAAATTATAAAGTCATAGCCAAGAATTGCAATTTCGGTGACTCATTTTTGACGATGCCCTGCACGCGATGAAATGATTCATCTTTTACTGCAGGTCGAGTAGTGATTTGCTTACTTGCTGGATTTGAGGCGTCAGCAAAAGTGAAATTTTCCTTCTTTCTTGGCCACCAAAAGTTCCATAGGCCAAAGGGGAAATCTGTGACAGGCCTACGTATGTATTCGAGGTTCATGCCGACCTGCACGTATGTATTCTGTATGCAGTCCAGTCACATAGCCCTAGCCCTAATAGTCTACTCGTATTTACCAAACTCCATTCAACATCAGTAAATGGAGTCCAAGCAGAAGGTCCAGTGAGCTGCACCGGTACTATTGACCAAGACGCCCGAGCCCTTGCCTCCCCGTCGAGTGACTCGTCTTCCCCAGTAAGGGAAATGTGGCCGAAAGTAGAGATGTAGATAAAAGCAAGACTCACGGCAATCCAAACTGCTCGGTAGATCTCAACTGTTATGAACGACGAGCGAGAGCGTTGCATGTTATCAAATGATTCAGGGCGAGTCTAATCAGCAGTCGTGTAACAATCCCTTCTGCATTCTACCGTCACTCTATGAACATCGAACGGCTCAGCCGCTGTATATGCAATCCAATTCCGTGGGCATCCACTTTCGTTCCTTGGATCCCAATTCCCAAACCCTATCCCACCTCAGCCTGTCCAAATGTATTTGCGCATCAATAGCGTACTGTGCCGCGATCTTTTGGTCGAGAAGGGTATATTGAGCGGCAATACACTCACTGTGAGCCTCACCGATAGCGGCTCTCCGTTCACAAATCTTCGCGATCTTGCTTTCATCGTCCATCTTCCAACCGTCGAGCCAACCCTCATATTCAATATCGATCATGCCCCGCTTCACAAGCCGTTTCTCATCCCACAGGCACCAGCCCCATTGCGGACAGCCTACCTGCAAAGACTGTATGACAAATCTGCGAGGTGTATTGGGAATACTGGCATCATAACAATGGCGAATCCTATGCCAGACAATAGGATGGGATCTAGCGTGCTGGCTTTGCCTGAAAGCTGCGACCAAGACATGGTCCTCCGGGCTTCCTGTATCCCAGTGATCGATGTCGCGGATTAGGCGTTGGAGGAGCGCGGGTTCCCGGATCAGTTCATCTTTTGAACCACACGACCGAAGGTATTGGAGGCGGTTGACTTTGAGTGCGAGATGGAAACGAACGGCCTCAAGCTCATCGTGTTCCCAGCGACTGAGATTGGGAAGGAAACGGCTTAAGGCTTCTGGACGGTATGCTTCGCTGCGACCTTGAAGCCAATTTGGCACGCTGCCGCTGATAGGTTGTTTGCTCTGAGATTGGACATATTGTCTAGTGCCTCTGGATTTGACTTCACAAATCTCCCGAGAGGAACTTACTTCTTCTGGATGACACATGTCGTAGCAAAGCTGAAAACGCCAAAAAGAGCGTCGGATCCGGTGGAGCTCTATCGGTGAGAGTGGCATACTATGCCTAATACAGGGACCTAGGACACGATCACTGGCGAAGGATTCCGTGAGACTCTCGATGCTCTCTGATATTGTGATGAGGTCCAAAATCGCAGAGAGCGGATACCGGCGTAAGCGGGGTTGAGTATAACACACTTTGGCGTCGAGATGATGTTTGATGAAATCGGTGATTTGGCTTGGGTGAATTGGCGGGTGACTTCGAACGGCTAGCACGTCCAGGGCCGAGTTTCGAAGCTCAGCTGACATGTTGTCCACAATGCCGGCAAATATTTCTTTGCTGATCAGGTTGAAAATAATGAACGTCCTTGGGTAGGCGGTAAAGAGCCTCGAAAGTGCAGCCATATCAGGTAAGTACTTCATTACTGCAATAAGCAGCTCGGCAGGGAGTTCGTGCAGACCGCAACCAGTGACGCCTCTGGGGCATGCTGTCGATTTTTGATCTTCAGGGGCTTCCTCAATTCCAAGCATCTTATTGAATCCAGGCCCTAGAATCGCCGATGTGAAAGATTTCTGATCGTGTTATAAGCGTAGAGTGAATGTTGAGAGTGCTATAGAGTCAACTGCAATTGCACGCTTCAATTGGGAGATCAAGGCCTCAATATTAAATGGTCGCGAGCCAAGGACGGTACCTCGAAGCTGTGACTCAAATTGCATTATATTTATTTTTTCTGCACGTGATATTGCAATATAATTCAATAGAACCATTCCCAATAGTCACGGTAGGGACTTTCCAATGCTATTGGAGGCCTAGTACAAATCATGAAACAAGAAAGAGACATCGTGAACTCACCAAAAAGGGTCTCGTCAATTTTTCTAAATACGGACTCTGGGCGCTACAACCGCGGAAAAGCCCTTCGGCGAGAGCATGACTGTTATGCTGAAGAAGAACACTTCGTGTTCCATTCCGAGCATTGGCTTCTTTCTATTGTACACAAGTTGGCAGTTGCAGTTCCGGAAGCAATCGCCTAGTAATGTCGACATGGTCAGCAGAGTCCTCGTACTTTGGAGATTTAAAATTCCTGGAATAGACATGAGGTACCTTATCTACCCTTCCTGACCCACCCCTCCACCGCTTCCCTGCTCTCTCCCACCCTCTCATCGAACCATTTCTTGGTCGCTTCCTCTCTAATCTTCGCTTGCCTCCAGCCCTCTTCTATCGCCCCCCTAACCCTCATATGGTTTATAGAGATCACCGGCGCCTTCTCCTCATAAGTCCACACCAGTTCCCCTACATTTCTCGTCGTAACAGGCAGCACAATCCACGCAGCTCCTAAGCCCACCGCGAACGGCACTGTCGCCCGCAGCAGTATATTTCGGTTTCGAGATATTATTGAGCCTGTCATTGCCGCTACAAGAACATAGAGCGCGCCTGGCATGACACGTTCATGGGTTTCGGGAGGAGGAGCCAAGGAAGCAATTGTCTGGGTGAAAGAATGTTCTTGGTGGAGGACAGTGGACATGAAGTTGTTGAGGCGATCTTCCGTTCTGACGGTATGGGCGTGTATAAAGAGGCGGGCATGTTTTATCTGGCCTGCTAGACGGTCTGTTGGCGTCGGAGATGAAGGGAGGGAATCTTCCTTGGGTGCTGGGGATGATTTGGGAGGGTCAAGCAGAGCGAGATCATCGTAGATGGGTTTCCGAGGAAGCTACATTGAACGGTTAGCACAATGAAGCAACGATACGATTCAATGCCTTGCAAGTTCTTGAGGAGGCGCCTCAGCGTGAAGTGTAGAATATGGATAAAGAAGCAGGCCGGCGGTGAGAGCAGCGATTGCCGAGGGGGGAATAGGACGCTAGACATATCAGCTCATATCAAGGGTTGCCAATTGATGTAGGAGGGCTTACCTGTCGTAGTAGAGGTCTGAATGTCATATTGTTGTCTTAGAAAAACACCAAATTCTGGAGGAAGAGCGTGATCCAGATGCAAAAGACGAGAGGCACTAGGCTGTTTCCACTAATGCCAAACTTAGTCTAGTCTAGCGGAATTCGAGACTCTGAATTCACAACACCACTCATCACCCTAGAGTGCTTACAATTTATTTCAGGATACAGACTCTCCGCTAAGGTAGTTAACAAATGCACGCCAACTGCAAATATATCAGGAAAAGTAGCTTCAACTATCCGACCAGTAGTGGATGTCTTCGCTAAGATTTCCGAGAGTCCGAGGCCAGCATCGAGCCGTTGCTAGTCAATAACGATATGATATGATTGTCCCATGATTCGTCAAATTCTACGTATCTTACAAAACAAGTCCGACGACCAACGACGACGTCCTTCCATGCCATGACCAACATTTCAGAAGCCAACTCTTATCTCGACTCTACTCATCCGCGAGATCACCCTGAAACAAGGAAACAAAGTCGCACCATCTCCATCTTCTGCGTTGATGAGGCTTGGAGATAGGGATAGGGATGAGATTGGACGATGTGGGCAACATGGTCGAGGAATTTTTTTCAGTGGACGCGTCTTATGAAGGGTAGGTCCCGTAGTTGTTTTAAGGGGTGTCTCCGCCTCTGCATACCTTGACCGAGACGTACTCTGTACGGATTGGAAACTAGACGTGACCACGTTAGGCACATGTCAGGCTGCTCCAACCCTCATATCAGCCATTTTTAGAGCCAAGATCCATAGCATAGGGGCAAGCTTGTTTTACAGAGCTCTTTAGATTGAGAGATCTGGCGGAAACTGTTGTACGATCAATGTATCAATAAAGAGGATCTTTCCCAGCCTCTGTCGCTAAAAGACTGCTGCAAATGTCGTTCTCATGTATATCGTTTCCCTTGAAAGTCTCCACACATGCCGCAATTTCCAACTCCCGCAAACGCTTCGCCGATGGGTTTTGAATCGCTCTAGGGCCAGACCCTGCCTACCCATAACGCCAGATTGAAGAAGCCACCGAGTGGTTATACCGTAATGCACAGGAGTTCGCAGAAGAGATCATCACGCTTTTAGAACCATCTCTGCTCCTGGCGCCAAATTTGCAACATTCACGTTGCTTCCCAACTCCTGCCTTAGCATTTTTCTAACCTCCTCCTTCGTGTATTTTCTTGTCTTCACTGACATCACAGAAAGCCCAGTGTTATCCTTGTCCTCATCGTGTGCGCTGATCCAACATCTGGCCATCAGGTTTTGCGCTATCTCGATCCCACCGGGTGAGCCCGCTGCGACATTACCGCCGAGATACCAAGGATTTTCGACGCGGTCGAAAGAGTGCAGCAGAAGTGTCAGAGGAAGAGCAGCGATGGACACCAGATGCGTAGAGGCGTAGGCACGAATGAGGGAGTAATTGACGCCATGGGGAGAGTAAATAAAAGATAATGCTTTTTCGGCATGGATGCGGGAGGTGGATGTGACAGAGCTTCTGGAGGATATGGAGAGGTTGTGGTTGGAGTTGCTTTGATGGGATGATGGGGTGGAGGCAGAGGAGAGGGTGTTACTGTCGGTACGCAGAGTGCTGCTTTGCCATGTAGGTGATTCAGGAGGGGTCATTGGCAGGTTCTGCGGCGCTGGAGGATATTGAGATTGGTGGAAAGGTGGCTGAGAATTTGGCGAGATTGGAGAGAAAGGACGCGATGGTATGCAGCTGGATGATGGTGGTCGATAGGTGACTCCAATGGCGTTATGTACTTTGGCCATATCCAATTTGGCCGGTATGAACGAAATGGTCGCTTCACCTGGTGTCCCTCCCGGAATAATTGGCGGAATGTAAAACCTAATGACTGAATCGGGCTTTCGTTCGGAGAAAGGGCGCAACGAATGGACCATGTCAGGGTGGAAGAACTTCATCCCTCTAATTTTCTTGGCTGCTGTTGGCTCGGCCAAGATGGTAGTGATGGGTGATGTGGGATCCAGTTGTCGCAGTGTAGCTTCATGACAATGATCAGGCTTATCTTGTGAGATGAGGACCACGTTTGGCTCTGGTATATGTGAGAGGTGCGGAATGCACGATGGCGTGGTGTGTTTTGAAAGGAGGAATTTGGGATGCCACATTGTTGTGGGACCTGAGAGCCATGGATCAACGAGTATGGAGAAAGTGCCTGGAGGCTGCTGAAATTGAGATCCTAGAGGAGTCTGTGGATAATTATCATTCGGAGAGAAAGTGAGGAGAAATGTGGTGTCTCCGTTGAGATGCTTGACAGTCAAAGACATGATGTAGGATGGGTGATCGGAATGCGCTCCAGGGCGTGGCTTCGTCTTTTGCAAGTTGATGTCACATCACCATCAGTATGTCAAGAGTAGCCTGGTCGCATAGTTGTCAAGAATTGAAAATACTCAATATTGGCGAGGAAGAAGGCATGATGATTGAAATGATGAAGGGGTTAATTGGCTCGTCGCTCGATAATAGGAGATGGAATGGTGGACTTGAGGAGACGATGCGGAAGGAAAGTGAAGTCGAACGGCTTGCATCAAGCTTTCCAGCCCATGGGGAATATTGCTACTAGTAACCAATCATCTTCGAGAAACGCCGCAGCGCCAAGATCAAAGTCCGCTCAGACTTGCCCTGGTGCCGGTGTCTCCATCGCCAAGGCAAGATTCCATGACAGTCGAGCCGAGCTTTTGCGGGTAGACCGGAAGCCTCATCGAAGCATCTCACCCAAGCCACCGGAGTCAGGCCCTCAGCGCATAAATTATATTATACAACTACGAGTAAAGGCCTATGAATTAAATTCATAACCGTTTTTTTTAATCAGGGCTGTCGAGTAAATTTGGTGAGCGGTCTTTGGTGAGCGATCTTTGGTGAGCGATATTTGAATTCCTTGCCTTTAAATATCTATAAGACTAAATTTAGTAATTCTTTTTTTATCTGAAAGCCCACATTACGTTCTATAATTTAAAAGAAAAATCTCAAAATTTTAATAGAAAACAAAAGAGTTATTTTAAAATCAAATAATGTACACCTGTTTTTTGATCAGGGCTGTCGAGCGGACTTTGGTGAGCGAACTTTGGTGAGCGATATTTGAATTCCTTGCGCTTTAATAATTATAAGACTAAATTTAGGAATTCTTTTTTTATCTGAAAGCCCATATTTCGATTTACAATTTAAAAAAAAAATCTCAAAAACTTAATAGAAAATAAAAAAGTTATTCTATGTGTTAATAACGTACACCTATTTTTTTGATAGTTGCGGACGCTAATTTGTTTACCCGCGGTGTCTAACCAAAAAGCGTAGACCTGACGAATTGATGATTGGCTGCATATACAAATTCAAGGTTTTCTAGTTCAGCCCTACCTTATTCTTTTATATATACTGATATACTGATTATCAAGTAGGTACCTTTCTTTCGCAACACACGCAAAAGTCATCATGCAGACCAGCCTACCAAGTGAAGGCGAGAACTCATCAGATCTCTTCAGACCCT